TTGGCCACCTTTTAGTATCAAGCTATAAGTTTAACTAAGAGGGGCACACTGAATTCTGAAAGTTTGTTGGAAATGTCTAAATTTTATACGATTTCAACAACACTCTAGTTGGCCACTATTGAGTATCAAGCTATAAGTTTAACTAAGAGGTGCACACTGAATTCTGAAAGTTTGTTGGAAATGTCTAAATTTGATACGATTTCAACAACTCTCTAGTTGGTCACTATTGAGCATCAAGCTATAAGTTTAAGTAAGAGGGGCACACTGAATTCTGAAAGTTTGTTGAAAATGTCTTATTTTTTATACGATTTCAACAACTCTCTAGTTGGCCACTATTGAGTATCAAGCTATAAGTTTAACTAAGAGGTGCACACTGAATTCTGAAAGTTTGTTGGAAATGTCTAATTTTTATACAATTTCAACAACTCTCTATTTGGCCACCTTTGAGTATCAAGCTTTAAGTTTAACTAAGAGGGGCACACTGAATTCTGAAAGTTTGTTGGAAATGTCTAAATTTTATACGATTTCACCAACTCTCTAGTTGGCCACTATTGAGTATCAAGCTATAAGTTTAACGAAGAGGTGCACACTGAATTCTGAAAGTTTGTTGAAAATGTCTAAATTTTATACGATTTCAACAACTCTCTATCTGGCCACCATTGAGTATTAAGCTGTAAGTTGATATAGAAAGGGCACACTGAATTCTGAAAGTTTGTTGAAAATGTCTAAAATTTATACGAGTTCATCAACTCTCTATTTGGGCACCATTGAGTATCAAGCTGTAAGTTGATATAGAAAGGGCACACTGAATTCTGAAAGATTGTTAAAAATGTCTAAGTTTTATACGATTTCAACAACTCTCTTTTTGGCCACCTTTGAGTATCAAGCTATAAGTTGAACCTAGAAGGGCACACTGAATTCTGAAAGTTTTTTGAAAATGTCTAAATTTTATACGATTTCAACAACTCTCTATTTGGGCACCATTGGGTATCAAGCTATAATTTTAACTAAGCGGGGGCACATTGAATTCTGAAAGTTTGTTGAAAATGTCTAAATTTTATACGATTTCAACAACTCTCTTTTTGGCCACCTTTGAGTATCAAGCTATAAGTTTAACTAAAAAGGGCAAACTGAAATCTGAAAGTTTGTTTAAAATGTCTAAATTTTATACGATTTCATCAACTCTCTATTTGGCTATGATTGAGTATGAAGCTACAAATTTAACTAAGAGGGCACACTGTATTCTGGAAGTTTGTTGAAAATGTCTAAATTTTATACGATTTCAACAACTCTCTATCTGGCCACCATTGAGTATTAAGCTGTAACTTGATATAGGAAGGGCACACTGAATTCTGAAAGTTTGTTGAAAATGTCTAAATTTTATACGATTTCATCAACTCTCTATTTGGGCACCATTGAGTATCAAGCTGTAAGTTGATATAGGAAGGGCACACTGAATTCTGAAAGTTTGTTGAAAATGTCTAAATTTTATACGATTTCAACAACTCTCTTTTTGGCCACCTTTGAGTATCAAGCTATAAGTTTAACTTAGAAGGGCACACTGAATTCTGAAAGTTTGTTGAAAATGTCTAAATTTTATACGATTTCAACAACTCTCTAGTTGGCCACTATTGAGTATCAAGCTATAAGTTTAACTAAGAGGGACACACTGAATTCTGAAAGTTTGTTGAAAATGTCTAAATTTTATACGATTTCAGCAACTCTCTTTATGGCCACTTTTGAGTATCAAGCTATAAGTTTAACTAAGAGGGACACACTGAATTCTGAAAGTTTGTTGGAAATGTCTAAATTTTATACGATTTCAACAACTCTCTAGTTGGCCACTATTGAGTATCAAGCTATAAGTTTAACTAAGAGGGGCACACTGAATTCTGAAAGTTTGTTGGAAATGTCTAAATTTTATACGATTTTCACCAACTCTCTAGTTGGCCACTATTGAGTATCAAGCTATAAGTTTAACTAAGAGGGGCACACTGAATTCTGAAAGTTTGTTGGAAATGTCTAATTTTATACGTTTTTAACAACTCTCTAATTGTTTACGATTGAGTATCAAGCTATAAGTTTAACTAAGAAGGACTCTGTAAGTTTGTTGAAAATGTCTTTATTTTTTATACGATTTCAACAACTCTTTAGTTGGCCACTATTGAGTATCAAGCTATCAGTTTAACTAAGAGGGGCACACTGAATTCTGAAAGTTTTTTGGAAATGTCTAAATTTTATCCGATTTCAACAACTCTCTAGTTGGCCACTATTGAGTATCAAGCTATAAGTTTAACTAAGAGGGGCACACTGAATTCTGAAAGTTTGTTGGAAATGTCTAAATTTTATACGATTTCACCAACTCTCTAGTTGGCCACTATTGAGTATCAAGCTATAAGTTTAACTAAGAGGGACACACTGAATTCGTAAAGTTTGTTAGAAATGTCTAATTTTTATGCGTTTTCAACAACTCTCTAGTTGGTCACTATTGAGTATCAAGCTATAAGTTTAACTAAGAGGGACACACTGAATTCTGAAAGTTTGTTGAAAATGTCTAAATTTTATACGATTTTAGCAACTCTCTTTTTGGCCACTTTTGAGTATCAAGCTATAAGTTTAACTAAGAGGGACACACTGAATTCTGAAAGTTTGTTGGAAATGTCTAAATTTTATACGATTTCAACAACTCTTTAGTTGGCCACTATTGAGTATCAAGATATAAGTTTAACTAAGAGGGCACACTGAATTCTGAAAGTTTGTTGAAAATGTCTAATATTTCAACATGGCCTCGTACCTGAGAATAACACACGGTGTTAATTGTCAATTCTGTCTGAAAATTACACTGAGTGTTATTTCCACATTCTGAGGCTGCTGCTTACATGGGGCTAGGTGGATACGGCCGCAGAATAATTGGACCGCCATTGCAACGCCTACTTTTGTAGGCCTACACTGAATGGCCTACTGGAAGGAAAATTTGCCATAGTTTGGATAAAGTAAATTAACATCTTGTCATCCGATTGGAATGAATTGTTGGGTAAAATGGGAATAACAGTGTTAAATTTTATTCCATATGGTCCAGGACATTTACACATTGCCTCAGCGACAATTGTAGAAACTGTGAATACCTGAGGACCAGAATAATTGGACGGTCATTGTAACGCCTACTGAAAGGCCTGCTGAAGATTGGCAGTAGTTTTGGATAAAGTAAATTAACATCTTGTCATCCGATTGGAATGAATTGTTGGGTAAAATGGGAATAACAGTGTTAAATTTTATTCCATATGGTCCAGGACATTTACACATTGCCTCAGCGACAATTGTAGAAACTGTGAATACCTGAGGACCAGAGCTGTAATTAAGGACACATTAACAATACATCATAAAATAAACACAGTTTCTAAAGCTTACATGCAGGGAATAAAATACTGGGCAGCTGTGGAACATTTCAGACCGTTATAGGGACATTTAGTAATAACGACGTCGCTGTTGAAGGCCGATGGTGCATGATGGAGAAATCGCGTAGCAAGGTTCCCGCAAAAGGAAAGTTAACTGCGGCGACGAAAAAAACAGGTGCGTCGCCTTCTTTTTAGTAGTGACTATGAAGGTATCATTGCTATTTTTTAGGATTGTTGTTGCTCAGCAAGCCGTAGGCCCTAGTCTAGGAAGGGCTAGGCTTGAGTATTGTTTTGGCGGCATTTTTTGCCCAACGTCTTGGTTCCTATTCGTTTGGAATTCAACTAATGCAAATATTTAAATATTTATATTCTATTCATTCCCTTACCCTGTACTAAAGTTAACAAATATGGCGCTCAAATTAAGCAAACATCTTTGGGAAAAATTATAGGTAGAGAAAGAGGCAAAGACACAATGTTTATTATTACGAAACATTACTATACGTAGTTTTTCGCTTTCGAGTCACGACACACGAAGCACGAAATTGAAAGCGTCAACGCAGAAACTATTAAATCAAAGAACATTGAAAATCTGAATCAAAATAAATTATGTCATAAATCAACGACACCGACAGACAACTAAATTGGCTGTCAATTTCAACATTTGCTTCTTATCTGCTCAAAATTATGCTTTATATGCTAACCTAATCTAAGTTTATAGTACAGGCCCCATGATTGGTATTATATAGTACTTGTGGTTAGTAGTTTAGTGTTTGTTTAAGAGAAAAATGATTCATATAAGAACAAAAAACGAACAAGTCAATAGGACCAGATTGCTAAGCGTTTATTACATTGGAAAAATTGTGTTTATTTGAGGTTTGACATGCCAATTTTATACTAGACATTCTCAGTGTATTATTATAATAATTATTCTTTATGATTTTGCTTCCAATTTGAGGTAGAATCTGTTTTTTTCTTGCAAATTTATTGATATTACATTGAAAATCAGTTTGAAAATATTTTTTATATAGAGTGTCATATATATATTCATTGCCCAAAGGCATGGCAACCAAAACATGCATAAGTTCAGTGTCTACAGGCCTGGCCATTTGAGGCAAGCCATAGCTCTTGCTCCCCTGCAGCCTCTCCTCAAATCCCGGAGGGGAGCTACAGATTGCTTTCCTTAATTGCTCTAAAAGCAAATTGCTCTCCTTTGTTTATATTCTTATGTATCTAGAAAAAGCTCAACTGGGGATTACTAGGAGAGCTGTTTGTTGCTCCCCTCCTTAAAGCCTTATCGCCAGATCTGTGTCTACACGTACTTGCCCATCAAGTGCAATATGTTTATTCTTGTGTAAGAGCTAATATTTATTTCTTCAACAAAGTACTACCCAGAGTAATGTATAGCTCTAAATTTATCTTAAGAAAATCCTTGCTGGTATTCATTTAATTGGCATTATCTACAATATCCAGGACTTTCTGCACATACCCTGTTCTGATGCCTCTGCTTTCACTAATAGTTACACCTTCAATTAATTAAATTCTAAACAATTTTAAAATAGATATTCCTCCCTGTATTTAAATATTTCTTCTATAACACTTGGGATTCAATTTTTTAGAAACTCCTGATGCACACAAAAAGAAAGGAGAATCTGTTGCATCCCTTCTTTCTGATATAGATGCACTCACAAATGAAATGATGCTAAAAAAACGGAAAAATTATGGTAAAAAATATGCAACAAAAATTTTCCGTGTTGGTTCCACAGATGCAAAGACAGGGTCAAGACACGTGCATTCTTCAAAACATGTGCCTTATAAAAGAAGAGAGCAAGCTGCAACCATGGATGGAAATTATTCTGATTCTGGTAGGAATTCCTTAATTATAATAGTGAGCAAGGGCCTTTTTACACAACATCAAAGAAGTATACCAAAGTTGCTCCTTATTGTTTGAGCATCAGAGTTTGTTATCAATTACAGGGCCATAAGAAACAGGGGCTGGAGCCCCTCCCCCCCCCCTAATAATAATTTTCAAACTGTACTACATTTTCTTTATAGCAGTTTACAAAATAGGAAGCAAAACGATGAGCAGTCCCCTAATATCAAGATCTTGCTAATATGAATTTCGTTCCAACAGCACTGATTTATTCTCCAGCTGAGTAGTTTAAACAGACACATTTCTCATTAAGCCCTGGTTACAGGAAAGAATATTCAACAAAAATAGTAAAATTATTTGGTTATTCTTGTTGTATTCAGATGAAAAATTTAACAAAGAATAATCTTGCCACCAAATTTTGCTTGAAAAGTTGTGACAGTAAGCAGAGTGTGACTGTAAACGGAGCTTAAACTAAAAGTTTTTCATGTTTGGGACTAAAGATTTTATGTGACTGTAACCAAAAGTGTGACATAAGCAGAGTCACTGTAAGGGGAGTCAACTGTAACTCTTTTTATTAAGGTAAAATATTTTTTATAAGAACCAGTGAATTGAAGTTCAAGCTGGCTTGCCTGTTCTTAACTATTTTGAAAAACAGAGGGTGGATTGTTTTTAATTTGTTCAATTGGTAGTGCAATTGATAGCTATTGTGCTCTAGGGAGGTTTACAGGACCTTTTTGTCAATAGAGTAAGTAACAAGACATCTTTTATTTATTTATTTTTTCACTGATAAACTCTTAGATGGCAAACACTCTTCTTTTTAGATGGAAAAATTTTCAAAGTTACATTTTACAGTATCTCAGCCCTAGCTTGTTCCTAATTTTACCAATTTTGAGCTTGGTGTGTTTTTATACATTGTCCTTTTAAAAAGTGTATATTCATTTCTAATCTTGAACTCTTACATGTTCTGACATTATTTATTTTACCTTAGTTATATTTGACAGCAAAATAGTTGATGTGGACTTGCAGAAAAAGTTAAATTCACATGAATATGTATAAGAATATAATCCCTTTAATGACTCTCATTGTTATGCTGCCCCCATTAAAGATTGTTTATCAATATATAATTTTGTCTTGATGTATGGCCTTATGCACATACATCTGCAATCCGTTGTGTTTTATAACTTCTTCAAATCAATCTACTTTTCAAAAATCTTTGTAAGGAATTTTTTTTCTACATTTTGCTATGTGCAGATGATTGTGATTTACAACCAACAACATCATTTGAAGTCACTAATGAACATGTTTCTGTTGACAAAGGTTTGATTTCTATTTTATAACCATATTGCTGTTGTTTCTAGCTATTCTACTTAAATTCAGTCTGTCCCCTTTATGATTGGTTAATATGAGCAATTGGTCTTCCCACCTTGACGGACTTTGACTCCAGTGAAAATAAATGTTGAGAACATTAGAGGACAGACTGCATTTAAGTTCTGATCTGAAGTGGTTCAGTAAAGTTGGGCAGCGAAGCAAGAACTGTAGAACATCTTTTATTAAACAATGTTGAATGGTGTTTTATGCTGATTTTTTTTATTTGGCCAGGACTTTAGGTAACTGTAAAACTACTGTTGTTGTTATTTTTTTAGATGTTAAGTCCCTAAAATTTCAATTAATGTTAAGTGGGCAATTATTTAGGTGATTACTATAGGTTTAGCAAGAGAGATCAAAAATTGTAATTGTTAAATAATTGTTAAGTAATAAGTTGGGACCTTTTTTGTTTAGGATAGTGTTAGTGCTGGCATGTCTATAAAATTCACCATCTTTGGTTTTTCCTGTCCTTCTGTGCTTGTATAGAGTTTCCAAGTGATGGTTTCATGATATTCTTATATTCTCAGAACTTCTTGAGATATTAGAAAGCTGCGATGATCTCATTAGAGAATCTGAAGCAAAACTTGTCAGACAGCCAAAGCAAACATGGTTTGAAAGAAGAGATGCTGCATTGACAAAATGGGAAAGCAGTAGAGAAAGCATTTTGGAAACATCAATTTGTGAAAAAGCCTTTTCCAAAAAAAGTTGTTCCTATTGTAAGAAGAGAGCAGCCCTGATAAATTGCAATCAATGTAGAAAACATAAATATCTTTGTTTTCTATGCGATGACATAGTACACTCTTTGGCACCTCTTCACGATAGAGCTGTTTTCATCGAAAATCAAATGCAGAAAATCACGCCACTCCAAGGACTCACAGAGAAAGGAATCATAGTGGAAATAAGTATGTGAAATTTTTTTAAATTTAATTTTAAATCTAACAGGATGTCCATTTGCATGACAAAAAGTCATCTGTACAAGTACATACATACATATATATATATATATCATAGATTGAAGAAAGTAAAACTACATGGTTTATCTCTACAAGCCTGTTTCGTGAGTAACTCACTCTTCAGGAGATGTTGAAGAGTGAGTTACTCACGAAACAGGCTTGTAGAGATAAACCATGTAGTTTTACTTTCTTCAATCTATAATATATCACGCTCTACGTGCTAACGTATTGAGCACTGTGCTACGGAAGTATCAAAAGACAAATTTCTATATATATATATATATATATATATACTTGTCCAGATGACAAGTATGTATATAAATATATATTTAAAGAGTGTCCGAAGTGCATCTTCTAAAATGCTCTACCTAAAATTTAAATAGTGGTTTGTCTTTTTTTGGATTTCTGAGAGTCTGAAGTTCAACACTCAACAAATGTTGAGTCCAACTGTTAAAATCATATTACTACCCCTGCAAAACATCACTTAACATCAAATTTGCTTTAAAGGAAGTGTCAAAAATGAAGGTTAAATTTTCTTTTAAATCACTTATATTAAATTCCATTACAAAGTGATGAATTTGACAATTAGACTTTTTTCAATAATTTCCTTGTTCTGTCAACAAGTTTGTTTCCAATATGTGATTCTTTGTCGTTTGTAGATCGCTGTCCTATAATGACACTACCTAGCAAATGTGCTAAATGTGGTATGCATGGACAATGGAGGAAGCTTCCTAGCAACCAGAAGTGTATATTGGTCAATTGCCGCGGTAGGCCTATCTTTTTCTTGTAGAAGTGGTTCATTACAGACATCAAATAATTTATAGTGGTATAAATTGTATAGAGCTTTTAGAATAAAATAACTAGGGGGGAGTTTTTTTTGGACCAAAGAAAGGTGTCAGTTACTGGAGGTTCCACTCTTTTTTGAATCGCATGTACAAGAAGCAGTCGAAACCAAGTAAGCAATATGGCATGATTACTTGGCAAGAAACTTGATTTCTTTGTTTAATTAAAGCCTTTATTTATTTAGACCCTTGATCTTTTTTAGGACGATTTGATCTGAATAAATTTCAGATCGAATGCTTGAATTGCAGTTTTTGCTCTGATCTATTTGATGATGTGTGCCAACTAATTAGATCTCGATACTGGCCAGGAAGTGTTGGCACAGTTTCTTATTTATTCGACGAAGATATGTTCGAAAGCTGGGAAAGCTTTATGCTGCGAATGCCAGGCTCATCTGAGCATGGATTCATTGGTAGCTTGGAAGACATCTCACAATATAACAACAGGGTGATTGTTTACATTTTGTGTCAAGTTGAGCTCTAGGGACTGATCACATATTTTGATTGATATGTATCGAAGTATCTTGTAAAAGTATCCTTTACAATAGTTAGTGTTCTGAAATCCTTTAAATGCCCTAAAACACAAGCCAATGATATACTGCTGATAGCCAATCAAACATCTGACATTAATTTTCTGACTTATTCAATGTCTGATTATCATTATATATGTCTAACATACAAAACTCTGGTAGTTTATATATAAGAACGCTGATGCACTTAAAGTATTGGACCATCTCAAAGGATTTCACAAGTAGATAAACTTTCAGTAGTATAGGGTGACTATATTTTAGATTTGTTTTTTTTCATAAAGGTTGGTCATATACAAAGAGATGCTTTCTCGCAAGCATTCAAGGAATTCAAATTTCTGAAGTATGAATTGAATTTGCTGCAAGGAATTGCACCTTTTGAATGCCCACCTTGTAAAATTGACCAGCATTCCGCAATCTTTGATGGAAATATGAAAATGTATCGTTATAAGTCGGCTGGCAGGTTTGTTTGTCCTGTTTTTGAACTAAAAAGTATTTAATCTATTTGTTTGAGATTGCTTGAAGTTATAGATTCATATTTAAAAGATTAGGTAGCCAATGTTTGGAAAAGGTTTGGATTTTTAACAATTGTTTAAGATGATAAACAGTTCACCATGGTTTGCAAATGCAAATGGCTTGTTTGAAAGTTTGCAAATGAACCCATCCTGCAATATTCTATACAGCTGCTATGACTCACAACTCTGATTTTTTATTATTTTTTATTTTCTCCAGTGCTCTGGAATATTTCATTCCCACTTTCATTCTACTCTTTTGTTTGTTTGATTAATTAACGTTTCTTTATCAGACATGCTAGTTTTTGCAGGCAGCTTAATAACTGTTGTAATGCAATAGTATTTTTCATAACTCAAACTGACAGCTCTTTTTTAAATTTAGATTTCATTAAATTCGTTTGTTGACATCAAGCATGATTTTATATAGGGCCATGAGGAATTCCTTTTATGGGTCAGCATTTGTATGCAATAAACACGATGTTGGCACAGTCATTGATAAAATTTACAATAAATCAAACAATTCAACGCAGGTGAGATTTTAAATTAGAAATACATGGCCATCAAGCAAAACTTCAACAGAGTACTTGTTTTATAAATTTTTGTAACAAACATCTTTTAAAAATTCAAATTTCACTACTTTGATGGGTAGTCATGAACATTTCAAAGGGCATTTAGCCTTCTTGAAATTGTTCCATATATTTTTTGGCAATTCATTTTTCTGAAATTTCGTATAAGGATTGAAAAAGTTTTTTATTCCGTGGTTTTTTTAACTACCTTTCAAATCATGGTTTGGGAAGTTTATCATTTTGAAAACTGGACCAAGTTCTGGCCATGGTGAAACATTAGTTGGATGGTCTGGGGATGAATTTTTATAATAATGGTTTCAGGTAACTTTCCATTTCATTTCGTGTTTGTTTGAACACTTATGATGTGTCTTAAAGGATTTGGAGCTGCAAAACCTTGCTCAGTGTCGAATTTTCATTCTTTAGTGTTTGTAAGTGTATATGTCGGGAAAGTAACAATACAGACAAAATATCTCCTGGAGTCATTACATCAAGTCATTACAGCCTGATTGTAGCTGAGTAGGCTAGAGACAATTAGCCATTGACACACCCATCTACATTTTAATCTCAAACTTTTGATCAGTATGCGAGCCCTCTCTTGAAGACGTCTGACACTCTTAAGAGTATAGTTCATCAGAATGATAGTTTGTATACCTAGTCCTAGCTATTTCTTATAATTTTTCAGGAGGCCGAAAGTGCTTTGTGTGGCTCCACGCAGTGGCTAGCTGCACGCAATGTGTGTCAAGAAGGGAGATCAAGAGATGAAACTGGAATAGAGTTAATGAGCTGCAGACATTGCATTGCACTCAAAGCAGTTAATATGTATAGGGGAGAAATCTTTGGCTATGCATATTATTTGCAAAAAAATTATGCACCAAAAACGAGGTTTTATTTCAGCGATGTTGCTTGTCGGTATTCAAAATGGCTTCGTAAAGTTGATTACGACCTTTACTGCTCACAGACTCCGGCAATCGGTATGATGCATGTCAAAGGGCACCCAGCTTTTTGCGAGGTTTGTCTTTTCTTAGAATAATATGTATATACACTCATCCCACGATGATTATCCTCCTGACAATGACTGTAGCGAAGTATTAAAATTCAGAAAGTATCAGTTCCGAATCATCTCTTCTTATTTCTATTCTATATAACAATTACTTCATAAAGCACCCAGTATTGTCAATTCATACAAGTGCCCGATAAATATTCTCTTTCTGTTGAACTAAGCTAAATGAATGTTCTAATTTATGATTTACATCTAATTCAAACTGGTCAAGATTAAAGTTCACGCAATCATGAGAAAGATTGATTACATGCATTTTTAAGTTATTTGATTTTACTTAATTTACACATGTCTTAAAAGAATTGTACGATTCTTGCTCATCTTCCTCATTTAATTATTGACTTTCAAATCTCTTTCGTATACATGCAAGAGTCATCTTCTATAGGTTTTATATGGAGGGCTGTGGACGGAAGGTAGTGGATATACGATTGGCGAAGAAGACGAACAAATATTTAGTTATTTGTCAAGAACAGGGTCAACAATAAAGCACATGCTCCCAGAACGTAAGAAATTTGCATTTTCAGATTATTTTAGATATCTTTTCTCATCATTTAACTTTGAGCATAAAAGACCTTATTCCTTGCTTATTTCTCTAAATATACATTTGTATACTCTTGTCTCATTCTGTCTAAATTATTGACTTTAAGTTATCTTTCTTTTTTATTTGCTTGATTCCCTTTGTTATCTTTTCAATTGCCAATGTAGACTTGTTTTTTCGTCTGTTGCTTTTAGCCGTTGATCAAAGGAAGTTTTATGTTTTGTAGACAGGGATGATGCCATAACTGAATTTGCCATGTATTGGAACAAAAGAAAAGTCGATAAGATGGCAGAATTATTGCACAGGCGATTCAAACAGGTAGGTTCAAACAGCATATTGTATTATTTGTGTATAAAACCATTATTAAACCAACAGTTTGGTCAAACTTTGTTTTTAAATGAAGTCTTCAAAATTAAAACAGAACAGTTAGAACGAACCTTACCCCTCTGGCTACCAATCAGTTGGATAGAAGGAGGGTCACTGATATGTCTTGGATAACGTTTTCTTGGTTGATGATGTAGTGCTCGGTTCTAGTGTATTTGATTATGCTTTTTAGTACCATTCCGGTAAACACATTATATAGCAGTTTATTGTTTTTGTTTTTATTAACAATTTCTTTAAAATCTGGACTACAAAAATACAGTAGCTATAGTAAAAGCTGTTTTAGGACAACTAAGAATTACAATATACAAATAGTAAATCGTTATAATTGGTTGTTGATAAAGTAGATGCATTAAACATTGCAATAAGACATTTTCAGTATAAAAAACATTTAAATCAAATGAAGTCTATGTTTGGAATAAATGTTTGACATAGGCAACAGTCGCAGGTTTCTCCAGACCAGGATATGATTTTGTCTTTAAACTTAAGAAGATATGTAAAATCAGTATGACGTTGTTTGCAACAGGTTTGTCAGAAGGAACGCAAAGCAATTGACGATATAAATTTAAAATCATCTGAAGTTGACCAAAGTCGCGCTCCTTTGTGGAAAAATGAAGCTGTTGCTCTGGCACAAGGTAAGTCGTTGTGTCAACGTTTTATGAAGCATTTGTTGTTGCAAATTAGGAAGAAACGTAAAACATTTTTTTTTGCTGCAAGTCGCCCTTTATTCTATCTCTAAATGAAGTGAACGTTTTTGATTGAGCTAGTTTTTTCTTTGTTCTTTAAACAGTTTCACAAAATGCTCTTGTTGATGTCAACATTTCGCAAATCGAGGAGCTGATCCTGCTGGCTATCCAGCTGAATTGCCAAAACAAGCTTACACCACCTCAGGGACGGGTGGTGCCGCTTTCAATGATTGAAAGGCTTCGGGTAAACAATTTGAAATTGCGTATTTTGGCCAAGCCGCTCAATAAGCTGTTAAATAAATATGAAATGTTGGATGCAAAGTTCTTCAGTGAATCGCACCAAGTGTCGGAGAATGAAATCAGGGATTGCGTTTGCCGTCTTATCCCCGTATATCAGCAGAAGCTTCAAGGTTTAGTGTACTCTAATCTCCACATCTCCCAGAACATCAATCGACTAGCAGGTATCTAAATTCATTTTCGTCTCTTTTTGGTGGTACTTCTCTTTTCAGAAAGAATCACTTGTCGAGTTAGTCTAATTACTTAGAGATCCCCTATGACTAGGGCGATATATAGTCTAATAGAGTTATTTAGTTTGATCGAATTTTATAAAGACATATGTGCTTAAAGGAGGTTGCCTTTTTCATTTTCAAAACTGGTTTTCAGTAGGCAGAACTCTGGATACAGTCTACATCCATTAATAACTTTTCCTCAATCAAAACCTTCTTCTCCTTCTCAGATTCCTCCAAAAAAAGGCGAAAATTACGATTGAAGGTAGCCAACCAGAAATCTTTGTTAAAGGACTTGGTGAATGAATACAATTCACAAATCCTTGCCATGGACCTTGCCGGAGACCATCCTGTATGTAAAATGGAGGATGTCGAAAAGCAAAAGTTTCCTTGGCATAAAGAGTCATCGAAGGATGCTACTGGCAAGTTTCTTTAAAAGGGATCTTTGTTCTCCTAATTATTCTTGTCGCTTTTCTAATTTTTGTCCAATTTTTGAGAAACTTTTTTTATTAAGTTTTTATCAAATTAATGAAAAAAGCAAATGTTTTTGTTTTTTTCGCTTTTCATTTGTACATCAAACTGAAAAAATCTGTTAGCTGTGTCTTTTGAATTTAAGATTTATTTTTAAGATTGAACGCATTCTCTAGAGGTATTTTGTCATCAAAAGATTGGTTTCTCTTCAACTAGTCCATAAGATCTTTCTTTTTTGAAAGATGGGCAGTATTAAGGCTCTTTGCATATAAACAGGCAGATTCCTTCAACGCATCGGCACAATATGAGCATTTTCATGTTTATTTTCTTATCTTTACTCAATTTAGCCTATTCCCACCAGGAAGGTATATTATCTCTTGATCAAAAATTACTATGCAGACCTTTCACGACTCCTTTACATTGATGTTTTTGTTACTGATTAGGCATATTTCTTTTAGTTGATCCCGAAGTTAAACAAGAGCTTCTTACGATTCATTTACTCGTCGAGAGAATAAAAGAGGAAAAGGTATTGCTGCGTTCAGAGATGCACAACTACCTTACCTATTACAAAGATTTGGTCATTCCGCCACTCAAAGAGAAAGCTGCCCACCTACAAGGTACGTTGGTCTTTCTATCGTATAAATTTTCTTTGTTTGTTTAAATACTGTTTTATACGATTAGTGTTTTATAGATACTGCATAGAATGGTTTATATATTGTATGTGAAATTATATATTTACTGTATACATGTATATATGTTTGCATGTAATTAAACATCATTTTTCTCATCCATAGAGCTTCTAAGCCAACTTTGCAGTTGTGATGCGTCTTCTATGGTATGCACTTTTGTATTCCTTTCTTTGATGTTTTATTCATCTGTGGTATGGATATTACTTTCTCAATCCGAATAAAGTGAGATTAAATAGAGAATAATCGGGTTGCAACGTTCTTGAAAGGACCAGCAAACTAGGTACGTTAAACCAGAAGTAGCCGGGTAAAACGAATTCGACCAAAAAACGCATTGCCCTTTTGATTATCAATTCATAAAGGCTTGATCATGTGGAATTTTTTAGTGCTAATCATTCATTTCAATAGACCAATTCGACTTACTGCCGCATTTCGAAAAATTCTTAAAATTCTTTTGTACATAATTTTAGCCCTCAGATTCGGTTTGAAAGCAATGATTTTAGTCTACTTGGAAGTTTTCATTAGGGTAATGCTCATGATAATGATTTTATGACGACATAAAAATTTTACAAGAGATTTGACCGTGATTTGCGACTAGAAGAGGGGGGGTAAAGTTTCACCCGGAATGATTTTTGCAGTCAAATCCCTTACCAGTTTTCAAACTTCATTTCTCCGTAAAATCTAAAATACAGACACAAACAATATGGAAGATGTATCCGGCCTGAAATTATGATGGTAAAACCAAATCTGAGCTTAAAAAAATTGTATAATTAGATTTGGAAAAATTCCAAAACGAGGCCGTAAGCCGAATGGGTGTATTTGTGTCTGTTTAAGAAAGCTGTCAATAGTTTTTGAATGAGGTAAAGAAACAATGAAACGATTGTATGACTAGCTCCTTGATTCAGTGAAACGGTGATGCACAAATTGTAAATTTATTTTTAACAAAAGAGGCAATTTGAAGTATCTGTAGTCGAAGGAGTTTTTTATATGGGTCAAAGAGAAAATTAGGGTATAATCGAAAGTGCGTCATAGCCTGGGAATTTTTACCTATTTGTAAGTCCACTTTGCCGGGACAAAACCTACTGCTATCTCCAAAAGTACGTTGTAACAGTGTTATACTGTAATAACTTTTGCTTGAAACAACTGAATATATATAGGTAACAGTTTTAAATTCAGTTTTTTTAAATTTTTTGGATTTCACACTTACTGTAGTTAGCCTCGAAAATTGTGTGTAGTATAGTTAGACATAAGGAACAATTTGTTGCTAACTTTTGACTACACTTTAAGTGTACCTCCTTTTTCATTTAATTTTGCTATTTTTGTAGCTATAAATTTCGTTTTTCTCGATCATGGCCTTCTCAAGGTCATAGTTTTGTAAAAAGTAGTGTATATGAAGCATTTGAATTTGGTTGTCATAACGTTGTTGCTCTATCCTATTATTTGTTATATAAAGGATGCAGGAATTTCAACTGGTTGTGACTGTGGAATTAAAAGAGGGGAATTGTCTTTGATCTTGCAAGGCATCTCATATGCAATCGAGCAAATAAAGAGAGGACAAATATGGTTCAAGGATATTTTGGCAAGCTCTGAGAAAGTACCTAGTTTCATCCAAGAATTTCCAAACGTGGATGAGCTGTTTGACCCTGATTCTTCGTCCGATTCTGAACTAAGTGTTGACTTTAACTTTGATGACGAACATTGAGTAAATGTAAGAATATACGGTAAATGTATTTTCTCAAAAAAGATTCTGTTTAAAGGCTGATTCTGTTCAAGGGCTATTGCGCTCAAAACCTTTCATTGGCTGAGTGATTCAAATCCTCCATGGCTTGCTCATCAATTAGACTTCAAGATTTTGAGAAACGCAACCCCGATTAAATTTTAGGTATTTTGCATTTTTTGCCAACCCTGGCTTGATACTGGTCGTGTTTTAATAGAGTACAATCAGAATCCGCATTAAAGAAACAGGCCTCTTTTTCTTTAAAAGCTGCTCATTTTACAAGAAAAATTTTTAGACCCGAAATTGAGATATTTCTTATTATCAAGTATAAACAGTCTTTTTTATATTCTCTATTTATGCTCTACGATAGTTGTAGTATGTGTGTTCTATTGATATGAAAAGTTATATTGTAGATTATGTATTATACACTACTACCAGTAATATTGATTACTCGTCCATGGAAGGTACTGTCATATAGCTTGACTTGATTTGACTTGACAGCACCGATTGATAAGAAACTTAGATCCTGATGATGAAAGTTTCTGTTAACAAGAAACTCCTAGAATAGAATAGTAATGTAAAACTTGCCGACAGAGGAAGATATGAAAGTGTAAACCTAATTTTTCTTTTTTCAAATCGATAGTTTTATATATTTATATGAACAGCCGTTTTATGAAGTAAATGTTAACCGAGATTAACTGGGAAGTTATTATTCGTTCTGCCACAATAGTTCTTCAGTAATGATATTAAATAACGAAACATTTTTCTTTTCCCCAGTCTCAAACATGCCTTTTCTTTGTATGATATCCTATTTCAGCCTTTTGTTATGAAGAATCAATTGTAATCACAAACCGTGGCATTATTTCTTTGTGAGCAACCTGATTGACACAAATCAAAATTACGAATTATCCTGTGACATGAAATATTGCTGGGACTTGGCAAACTAAACGTTCTTTGTTTTTGTTGCAAGCCAATTGAGACTGGCCGTTAACCGCAAGGTGGACGCTTTGACTCATTGGTCATTTTATTGTTTTTGCTTTTGTTGCAAGCCAATTGAGACTGGCCGTTAGCCGCAAGGTGGACGCTTTGACTCATTGGTCATTTTATTGTTTTTGCTTTTGTTGCAAGCCAATTGAGACTGGCTGTTAGCCGCAAGGTGGACGCTTTGACTCATTGGTCATTTTATTGTTTTTGCTTTTGTTGCAAGCCAATTGAGACTGGCCGTTAGCCGCAAGGTGGACGCTTTGACTCATTGGTCATTTTATTGTTTTTGCTTTTCTTGCAAGCCAATTGAGACTGGCCGTTAGCCGCAAGGTGGACGCTTTGACTCATGGGTCATTTTATTGTTTTTGCTTTTGTTGCAAGCCAATTGAGACTGGCCGTTAGCCGCAAGGTGGACGCTTTGACTCATTGGTCATTTTATTGTTTTTGCTTTTGTTGCAAGCCAATTGAGACTGGCCGTTAGCCGCAAGGTGGACGCTTTGACTCATTGGTCATTTTATTGTTTTTGCTTTTGTTGCAAGCCAATTGAGACTGGCTGTTAGCCGCAAGGTGGACGCTTTGACTCATTGGTCATTTTATTGTTTTTGCTTTTGTTGCAAGCCAATTGAGACTGGCCGTTAGCCGCAAGGTGGACGCTTTGACTCATTGGTCATTTTATTGTTTTTGCTTTTGTTGCAAGCCAATTGAGACTGGCCGTTAGCCGCAAGGTGGACGCTTTGACTCATTGGTCATTTTATAAATAAGGCTTCTGACTTGCCTGAATTAAACTTTGAACCAGTGACGTAATGGAGTTTTCCTTAGCCCTTATTTTTTTTTTATTGGGCTTCCAGATAAATATAAAATATATCGACAAAAATGTATAAAGTTATGCTGCATTAAAATTTTAGAAGTTCTTTTGCATATTTTGTATAAATGTCTAATGACGGAAATAATGTAGTCAAGTGTTAGCTTTTGTCAACCTGAATTGGGTTCAAGGAAAATAAATTTGTTCTTAAAGAAAGAATAATTTAACTGGAGAATTAAATGGAAAGAAATTATTTTGTAAATTTTCAGTCATTGCAAAAAAGTTTTTTAGTGTTTCGTTTTTCGTAAAGAACCAGAATTTCATTTTCCGCACATTTTATATGATGTATCGAATCTCCCTAACTCCACAGACGTGGTTCATAAGAAAGTTCGGAATGGTTCCAGTACCCTAACTTTCTTTGAAGTATTGATAACAAAAATGAACTTTATTGCTCTTTTAACTTTTTAAATTGACCAATAAATGGTGATTTACAATGACCTTCAAATTGCTGAGATTTGGCCTTGATTTAGCTGCATTCGTATTCTCGATTAGTTTGTAAAGACCATATACAAAGAACATATCTCTGGTATAGAGTACCACAGTGATGACGCCATAAAAATCTTTTTTGGTTTTTTGAATTTTTTCCCAGAAACTTAAAGTGCATCATAAAATACCGCTAAATACGCAAAATCAGGTAAAGGTATTACGAATTTGCTGAGATATGGCCACATGAGCAAAGGCCCTTGCCCCATCGAACATCAAACCATCGTAACGTTATGACCCAGGCCAGATTAAACTGTTAGCAAACTGAAAATCTTTTATTGGCCATCTCTCGTCAAATTTTTTAAACATATCTAACTGATCTTGCACATTGAGAGGTATCTTGTGCTGTTCTTTCAGATTATGTGGTCAAATTTAAGAAATTCTAAAGAAATCGTTTTAATGACGTCACACTTCGGTACTCTTGTTGAAATAATCACGCTCAATTCTGGACATATCTAGAAAGAAATATCTGATTTTTCACATTAGGAGGTTTTTCATAGGGTTCTTTAAGCTGAGCAGTCAAAAATTAAACAATTCTTTAATGAAATTTTTTATAACATCACATTGAATAACGCTATATACTTTCTTAGTTATGAAAAATGTAGCACAAAACTCTCTCAACTTTTTTGAGGAGGTGGATATAAATTTCTTATAAACTTTCTTCTTATGAGAAGAATTCCATAAAAGCAAAGCTAACTTGGGATAAAAGGAGAGATAGAAGAAAATTATGGGAGAAGGGAGACATTGCAATGTTATAACAGGGACCGCAGAAGCGGAATGGGGGGTGGGGGCTACGGGGGCTTAAGTCCTTTCTTCAATAATTTCCAAAATGTTTTTCGAACAAAGCAAATGATTGTCCTTGTTTTGGTTTTAAGCAGGTTTAGCCCCCCAAAACGTTAAAGCCTTCCCAATCTGTAATATGCTCTGTGTTCCTTGTATAAAGAAGACTGCAAATTTTTGTACGTTTTGGGGACGGCTAGACCTAAGCCCATCCACAAATATTTACAAAGGAAAACTAGTCATGCCATAAAGCGGAATAAACTTATCTGGTGCTCAGTGCTCACTACAAACAAAAAGGCCGACAAATTTTTTACTTTCGTTTAACAGGTAAATTTTGAGAATTCGAGAATAATTTTGGAATATCATTTAGATTTCGGGAAACATGCTCATAGATTTTTAGGAAATATTTTCGCATCACAATAATATTTTGGGTATAATTAAAAAACAATTTTCGGTGTGATATGGTTTAATTTTAAACTTAATCTACAAAATGGTCTTTAGAAATCAAGTTGAATAGAAATTATTGATTCTTGCGATTATCAGTTTCCATGAAAACGTTGCATCTAGATATTACGAATTTGATATTGAATATCGAAGGAAATTTAATGAACTTCATCAAATCATTTGACTTTTATCAAACTTTATTTCTATATGCTCTATTTTTTTACTTCTTAATTTTGAAAATAATTTAACTTTAGGATGGGCCTCAAGAATAAGCTATACTGCATTTTCTCGAATCAGCGTCATTTAGATTTTCCGACTCTTTAACCCGGCACACATTAGCTCAGTGGCGGATTTAAGGGGGGGGGGCAACTAGGGGCAGTTGCCCCTCCCTCGCCGAGTTGAAGGAAGTTTGGCGCCCCTTTTCAAGAATTATTGTGCGCCCCTTTTCAAGAATTAGAATCAAGTGAAAATGTTTTTGAGACTTATAGGTTATTCTACTTCAAGGATTACTTCAAAGTATACAAAAATTATTGTGAAAATTTCCTTAAAAAAGTGAATAGAGAGCCTTCTGTCAGTAGTGAGGGACTGAAATTGTTGTATACAGCGTACATTCGTCACCAATTTCTGAAAATTTTTCAGCGCCCCCACTACCAACTGCCCCTCCTTCAAATTTGCTCTGGATCCGCCCTTGCATTAGCTTTAAATAATTTGATGTCGAAAAACTAACCTAATCTTTCTTAAAAAGTAACATTTTAGCTCTGTCATAATAGTAGCCATGCTCTCAACGATCATCTTGATAAGTAATGAATGGATTTGCATTTCTGGTTAGAGGCGTCCACCGAGAGGAGCGATGACTAAATTTTTGACTGTATCACTAAAGATGGCGGGGGGGGGAAGGGGTCGTTCATTTGAGAATTTATGGTAAATTTTGGGGTAGTGATTTTGGGGAAATTTCTAAATTTTAGTGCATGTCATAATTAGGAAAATGAGAATTGTGCATTTTTAAATGCTGTTGGTACTGACAACATCCACAACACGGCCTAAGTATCATCTCTTCTTTTTTAACAGTGAACACAAACCAAGACAAAAAGCTATCTTCAAGTATTTTTGCGGGGTTTTTGTTGTTTTCACCTTTTTTTGAAAAAAATTATTTTGCCAAACTTTTCAAAAAATTTTCAATAGCAAAAAATATCGTCCGCAAAAATTTCCCGCCCCTATATATTTACTATCAAAGTTCTTTAAGTACTCTGAGCTGATCTAAGTTTTTTCAAAACAAAATCTTTTTTCATAAAAACTTTAACCCACAATATCAATAAAATAATATCTAGATAGAGCAAAAGTCTCATCCACACAAGTTATTTCCGCGAAATGATGAATCTGAGGTTCTGACTCGAAACATTTTTCCGCAAACTTCGCACCTATTCTAAAGAGGGGGAGGGGGTTGTGTGCTAGGGCATTGTACCACCAATACTTTGTCTATCGGCAGAAGAAGGATTTTGTCGGTCGCGAGAAGAAGTGTTTTTCTCACGCTGTAGTATAATCGTAACCTTTTACAAAAATTATAACGTATTAACATTTCTGTAGGAAATAAGCTTTCAAAGTATGGCATTAAAAATACTTAAAATTAAATCTTTCGGATGCTGAATCTTGAAATAGAAACGCATATGAAATTATTCAACAAATAAAATTGATTATCTTATGACCACACTCTTAAAGAGTGAGCTACACCCTATTTTCGGCAAAATTTATAGCCGTACCGGCTTCGCTCCTGGTTTCAAAAATTCCAATCTCAGAAAAAAACAAAATAAAAGAAGGGCTAGGCGAGCAAAGAATAGCTGAAAAGAATGATTAGATAAGTGTATTGTTGCAAAAGCACAGGCGTGTGAAAAAATTGCGTGCGTTGATTGTTGCGGAGCTGTGAAAGAATCACGCAAAGGGGAAATAACTGGAATGAATTGGCTGCCACACATAAATCAAAATACCACACCCCTGTCACCTGTCTTTTAATTGTTGTTGTCTGTTCTCGGTGCGCTCCTTTGTTGAGTCATACGCAGCATTAATACTGTCACGAACACGAAGGATTTTGGAAGTAAGAAATTACAAATTTGGTTGATATGGACGAAGAAAGAGACTCAGAATTACAAGACGCCACAACACAAAAATTACGGAGAAAATTCAAGCACGCTAGAAGCACACAAACTGTTAAACAGAAGGAAAGGCGCAGGCGTAGACGCTTGAACCTTTTAAGCTCGCCTTCAACTCACAAATCCTTTTCTACAGCAGAGAAAGGAGAGGTTTGTTTTCATTTAGAAAAATCAATAATCAACCTATCAATCAATCTAAAAGTCAATCAAAAATTCAATTACAAAATAAACAGTTTTTCACGCCTGCCTACACGATTTTTTTATAAGGAGGTGCAAATGGGGCCTTAACACTCTCCTTTGGCAACTATAACTAGCAGTTGCGTAAATCCTACGTATTTTAAGAATGAAAATTTTTGCCAAAAATAAAAACAGCAAGCCTGAACTTCAACTAACTGTTTCTTAAAAAACAAAATTTATAAAAGGAAAGTAGAAAATGGTAAGGGAAAACTAAAAATTTTAGACCTCTTTATATTAATTTAACCAATTGTATTTCAGCTGCTGTGTGCATACAGTGAATCTCTGAATAACTTTTATGAAATCCAACTTGTCGTCAATTTTTTCGAACATTTAGTTCTACATATGTTAAATTGTTCCTACATTTATTTTAGAGACATTTTAAAGAAAGTTATAGAGGTTTGAATACCCAGATTTGGCCCGCATTTTAGGAATTTTAAGTGATTTTGTTTCTAATGTATCAGTGGCGTAGCTAAGGGGGGCGGGGGAGGGGTTGTGTAAATAAATCGTTCACGAGTTGGTTGGTAAATCTTCACATTCTCAGTAAAATCGTTAGTTAAGTGTTCTCCTGACGTTAGGTTACTAAATTTTTTCTCATACCTGTCTACCATTTAATTTTACTCCTCATGACCCTCCAGCCCCCGTCTGGAAGGTTAAGTCACGCCACTGTAAAATACCACTTTTATTCGAGATCTGGACCGTGACTAGCAGCCATCATCAGCAGTGTTCTGCTCGTTTTTCTAATAAATTCAAGCTTCTAATTACAGAGTACATGAAAACTAAATTGCTTACAAACACAAAGCTTTGGGCAAATAAAAAGAACTAAGATGAGCTATCGAGTTATTTACCCTGTAACACAGCATGCATATAGAATTACAATGAATTGCAAAAAACGTATGTGTAGAAAAAAGCTATAAATATATAAAAATAAAAAAGGAGAAGCTTTCAATTCGTTTCGTTTGGAAAGTTGTTTTCCTAATGCCATTCTCAAGTAAAAGTAGCAGTGTGTTAATTTTCAACACTAAGGGGGCATCGGCGCTCCCCCGCACTGGTTCTAATCCCCAGCTTCTTACCCCAATAAGGCCCTACACCGCATACACACTGCCAAGTCACACTAAGCCATTAGAAAAAATAGATTTGAGGAACAGTATAAAAAGAAATTCAAAAACATTCATTTTAGTACTGGCATTTCTGATTCGGTCCCAGTTCTTCTTTTTGATATCTTGTATTGTAACTCAAGCTCGTTCAGAACCATTGTTGCTAACAATTATCATCAAACGCAGAGCCAAAAATTGTCAATGTAGGATAAGGAAATAGTTGCTTTTCGAAGAGTGACATTTTACCAGTGCCTAGTTTTTAAATACGCGTTTGTGTTAAGCTAAATCAAAATGTCTCTCCTCTTAAAAAAAGCTGGGGGTCCAATGTGCACATTTTGGAAGGCAAATTCATGCGAAACAAGTTGCAGTAAACATAAGCATTTATTTATATTTCAAGCAACTATAACATAGACTTATGAACATGGGCGTAGGGGATGCTGAACGTTTAGGAGAGAGGGGGTTGGCCCAGTGGCGGCGCCAAGGGGTGGTATGGGGGTAATTACCCCCCCCACCCATTTTTCTGAAAATATGGTCTACATATTTCTTCGAAAAACGGATTAAAAAGCACTAGGTAGGGGTAGATGAAATTTCCTAAGGAAAGTTAGCCTGGTACAAATCACTGAAACGAGGCAGAAAGGGCGTGGTCCCACTTGCCGCGCCCATTACCCTCCCACTCTGTAATAGCTGGCGCCGTCACTGGGTTGGCCTTAGTATGGAAATTGCTTCATTGAGAGAGAAATGCTCGAAAGTATGACGCTTTTGAAATATGACGATAAAAAATGTCCGCGGGTGTTTGTCAGAAATAGACACCTTCATCCTCCGGTCCTTTAGTTATGGGCAAAAGAAAACACATTTTGTTTCGTTTAAATAATATCATTGTTAACAACAAAAATGGCTTACTCGTCGATGCGCTACTCTTGACAAACTGAGCGAACAAGTTAATCAACATCTTCAACGTCATCAAAGTACTTCAAAAATTTTCTTTTCAAAGAAGAGTTTTTCTAAACTGATTAAAAAACATAAGTATCATGTACAATTGCTAGGGTCTTTTTATAAAAAATCAAAATAATGAATCAAAAGCATTTGAGGTTCCCTGATGCCTTACATACATATTTACATTCCTCTACCACGTTATAAAATATTTCAATAGACTCAAATAAAACAAAAGTAGAAAAATAATGAAATAATTAAGACAATAAATAATTAAATGTTTGCATTGTAGCGATTCACATTTGTTCATTAAAAGAGATGTGATGTCTCGGAATATTCATTCGATGTAAATTAATGGGTAAATGCTTCTTTAATGTCAATAGACGCATTTTTAAAAACTAATTTAAGTTATTATCTTATTTTTTGAATTACAGTGTGATACATTTCTTCAAGCGCAGCCAGAACCGGGTGAGAATACAGTGGATGGATTCCATACATTGAATCAGCAGAACAAACAGCTCACGGAAGAACTGTTGGTGAGGGACGAAGAAATAGAGGCACTCGCATTGAAGCTTGAGGAAACTTCAAGGGCAAAGGAAAAGAGGAAATACAGGGAGCATCAGTTGGCTTCCGAAAATGAGGAGCTCAAAAAAAAAGTGTCAAGGAAAGAGAGGCAAATGGAAGCTCTCGAACACCGAATGGCCATGGTAAAGGAGCAAAATTCTGCCATGCAGCTTAGAGATGCAGAATGGACATATACGAAAATAAAGGAGTATGTCGGCATGCGATCGACCATAATAGTTGACGCTTCCTTGTTTGCCGATTTCTCTCACAGAAGTGACCCTTTATTACAAGGGACACCCGTCTCTGTTTTAGACAGCAACAACTTTCTCAATGTTTTGGTAGCTACTGAAAAGTACGAAAAGGGGGTATTTTCAAAAACTACTTTGGCTAGCCTTTCAGATGGGACACCAGTGACACTTAAGAGGTACCATATTTGGGAAGGGAAAGATGCTGATGTTAAGAGTCTCCAGTTTGTCAGCCATGAGGCTCGTTTGCTGAAATATCTTGGAAAACATCCAAATATTACGTTTCCATATGGCATCGTACAAATTAGAGGGGCTTTCCACATTGCACTGAAATACGAAGGGAATTTATCACTCAGACAGTTTCTTCAAAATGATGTATTCGGTAGTGAGGCAGCAGTGCAATCGGTCGTTGAAGGAATTTGTGCGGCCATTGTTTTTCTTCACGAGAAAGACGTTCTCCATAACCACATAAGATGTGGGAACATTCTGCTCCCACAGTTCGGTGATGGGTATAGACCCGTTCTTATTGGGTTCGCCTTTGCATGCAGACACTCAGTGGGAAAGCTGCTATCGAAAGAGGCGTTGGAGAAATTCAAAGAAATTGATCATTTCCCTCCAGAGGTCATTGCAAGAAAAAGCCGACCTTCCTTTCAAAGTGATGTGTTTTCTTATGGCGTCATTATGCGCAGAATATTAGCGAGAAGACTGCCAGTAGCAGACTATGTCCTATATAAATTAAAGAAAATTATGGAGAGGTGCACAGACTATGATCCTGAGATTCGATCGATGCCAAATGTATTGCGAGTCGATATTAACTCTGCTTTTTATGATATGTACGAACAGTAAGGCAGGAATAAATTAAATTGACTTTAGTAGCCAATGTCCAAGTATTGATAACTCACTTTGCTTCACAGTTACTCTACAAGTAAAATTTCCCAATCCTTTAAAAGGTTGGCCTTTGCTGATCTTATCGTGCACTTTCCGTCACTGCTAAACCCCTCAGTGCCATCAATTGCTGTAAACATACCATTATAGCAAACATCAACTTCATTCTTTGTTTCTTCGCCGAATTCGCAATGCCAGAACTTATTCCCCCAACTATCGCTTATCCCTTCTGTTATCGGCGGCCAAAATATCCGGGCTTTGCGTCCCCTAAATTCCTTCCATTCTGACTCAATTTTTCCTTTTGAAGTAAATAACGGATATTTATATGTAGCAATATAATATAAAATATACAAACATTCATATAAAATCAAATCTAATTGAGCAACATGTGGTGTTAACTATGAATAATTTTTTGGCATTAAATGGTTTATACAGACCAAGTCAACTAGTCAGTATTGCTTACTTGCTGGGTTGTCAAAGAATGCCTAGGTTCCTAATGTGTACCGCAATGAGTACGAGTTTGATCTGCGCACTTTGGTAGGAATAACCAACAAAACTGGTTCTGGGCTGTACGAGACCGATCTTAACCTCGTACGAGTTATGTTTTGCGGGTTTAAAACCTCTCTATTTACAATACAATTCCAATATCCATCATCTTATCATACAAGGCCATAGATCGTATTCAATTATTGTTGCAAATGATATCCCGTCAAAGTTGTACACATGTTTACTTACCCGTTAAAACTTTGCGTTTTTTTGCTTTGGACAAAGTAACCCTTGGCAAAAACTTTCCAATCTTTCTCTTTGTACCTACAATATAATGAAAACAATATTTTTAAAAATTGTTCAAATAGTACTGAAATGAACTCATATTTTGTACTGCTCGTCTGACAGTCAAAATCTGAAATGCCGGACAACGTCCAAAGTAAAGGGATGAAGTCGATCCCCAGATGCGGTTCAAAACAACATTTTAGTGAAGGATTGATGCTTGTGATTAGTAACCTGCTTTGAATAACAATCATCTACCATCCTTCACAGGGTTTTGGCATCCAAAGACATTCAGACAATATCATAATTTTACTATCTAAAAAGAGGTCTTTTTATATAACAAAATAGAAATGAATTGGAAAAAGTGCCTCAGCCTCCCAAGTTGTCATTGACTATGATAATAATAAAAACGATAATATAATCGGATCCTGATGAGAATAAATTCCAAACCATATGTAATAAATAAATACAAAAGAAGTTGGAAAACTGCAATTTGAAGAATCAAAGCTATGAAATAACTAGCTAAAACACAGTTTTAAAGATAGAACCAGTACAAGAAATGACAAGATTCTAGTAGGTAAAACAGATGACTTGAAACTGGAAAAGTATGCTGAAATAAGAATGAATGTGAGAAACAGGCTAATCTTCTATTAATTAGGATCAATACCAAATTAAATTGCAATAAACAGGACACAAAATACAAATCTGATTGAATTGTTACTGTACTGAGCAAATTATGATTTGCAAGATTTTGACGTTGATCATATATAGCAGCTTCGTTGGTATAATCTAATGTCCATCTAACTGGTGGCTAATACATTCCATTAATTTTTTTTTTCATCAGCCACGCCACGATCCACCGTAATACATGATTCTTAGAAGGCACAAAATTAGAAACCATCATTACATTAGAGATTTATTGGCACAACAAACACTTAATGGGCATATCATTCACATGGATAAAACAACATCAATATAGCTTTCGATACCATTGCATTTCACAGAGCCATCGACTAACATTTTCAACAGATTAAGAATCGGATGGCACAAAAAAGGATCAAGTTGACTTACGAATCACGTCGACAGCTGTTCCCCTTTCCTCTCCGCCAGCTCCGCCAGCTCCGTCAGCTACATCTGTGTCTATAACAATAAAAGGTAGCAAAATTAAGAATGAAGCAACAGTATTGCAACAGCTGCCGACATAAATTCAGTACACACAAGCATCAACAAACACTTTCAACAGATTAAGAGTCGGATGGCACAAAAAAGGATCAAGTTGACTTACAAATCACGTCGACAGCTGTTCCCCTTTCCTCTCCGCCAGCTCCGCCAGCTACGTCAGTGTCTATAACAATAAAAGGTAGCAAAATTAAGAATGAAGCAACAGTATTGCAACAGCTGCCGACATAAATTCAGTACACACAAGCATCAACAAACACTTTCAACAGATTAAGAATCGGATGGCACAAAAAAGGATCAAGTTGACTTACAAATCACGTCGACAGCTGTTCCCCTTTCCTCTCCGCCAGCTCCGCCAGCTACATCTGTGTCTATAACAATAAAAGGTAGCAAAATTAAGAATGAAGCAACAGTATTGCAACAGCTGCCGACATAAATTCAGTACACACAAGCATCAACAAACACTTTCAACAGATTAAGAATCGGATGGCCCAAAAAAGGATCAAGTTGACTTACGAATCACGTCGACAGCTGTTCCCCTTTCCTCTCCGCCAGCTCCGCCAGCTCCGTCAGCTACATCTGTGTCTATAACAATAAAAGGTAGCAAAATTAAGAATGAAGCAACAGTATTGCAACAGCTGCCGACATAAATTCAGTACACACAAGCATCAACAAACACTTTCAACAGATTAAGAGTCGGATGGCACAAAAAAGGATCAAGTTGACTTACAAATCACGTCGACAGCTGTTCCCCTTTCCTCTCCGCCAGCTCCGCCAGCTACATCTGTGTCTATAACAATAAAAGGTAGCAAAATTAAGAATGAAGCAACAGTATTGCAACAGCTGCCGACATAAATTCAGTACACACAAGCATCAACAAACACTTTCAACAGATTAAGAATCGGATGGCCCAAAAAAGGATCAAGTTGACTTACGAATCACGTCGACAGCTGTTCCCCTTTCCTCTCCGCCAGCTCCGCCAGCTCCGTCAGCTACATCTGTGTCTATAACAATGAAAGGTAGCAAAATTAAGAATGAAGCAACAGTATTGCAACAGCTGCCGACATAAATTCAGTACACACAAGCATCAACAAACACTTTCAACAGATTAAGAATCGGATGGCACAAAAAAGGATCAAGTTGACTTACAAATCACGTCGACAGCTGTTCCCCTTTCCTCTCCGCCAGCTCCGCCAGCTCCGTCAGCTACATCTGTGTCTATAACAATGAAAGGTAGCAAAATTAAGAATGAAGCAACAGTATTGCAACAGCTGCCGACATAAATTCAGTACACACAAGCATCAACAAACACTTTCAACAGATTAAGAATCGGATGGCACAAAAAAGGATCAAGTTGACTTACAAATCACGTCGACAGCTGTTCCCCTTTCCTCTCCGCCAGCTCCGCCAGCTCCGCCAGCTCCGTCAGCTACATCTGTGTCTATAACAATAAAAGGTAGCAAAATTAAGGATGAAGCAAGAACATTGCAACAGCTTTTAACAACGATATATTACACACAAAAGTACAACATCGGCTCACCATTCATGTTAAGAACTGCCATTGTGTCTTCGTTTCTGTCATTGACATCAGCCGAACCATAGTAGGCTTCAAATATAAAACGAAAACAATTTAGGACAAATGGCTAGTCATTGCATCCATTAAAGGCATTCGACACAGATAAAAGTGGCTTACAGCCACTTGACCCCCATATGTTGACCAATTGAATTACGCCCAGAGAAAAACATGTGAACAATTTCCGCCATTCTGCCAATCGGGGAGACGCTAGAGTGGTTTCACGTGAGTGATTTCGAAATTCCTTCCAAACGCGCGTGCTCTGATCGAGTTATTTTTGGATTCGCTCTACTTATGGATGTCAAATGCCTTTAAGAAGAAGCTGTTAGGTAAAAACGATACCCGTTAACAAGAAGTTAACGAAATATAAGCTAAAATGAAAAGGTTTTGAAAGATTTAGCAAGATAAGCTTATTGACCAACATAAGAATATAAGCCTATAGACATAAAAATAACAAAAATAAAATACACAAAAGGCAGTAAATTTTCGCAAAATAACAATCAACTCATTCTATGAAAGCTTAGGTGTTAGAAATACCTTCCATTGAGGTTTTAAAAAGCTTCATCACTTTAAGACCTGCATCAGGTCTGGACTTCCATCCACCTTCACCAATGAAATGGGTGCCAAAGCCACTTGTTGCATAAGTTGCTATGTCAAACACAGTAGCTTCCTTCCCCGTCTTTAATCTCCTGGTATGATGAGAGCCATACAAAATCACAACATCATATGCAGAATTTCTGGCCATTGTGTCAGCCTAAAAAAGAATTGATATTGATGACATGCTTGTCTTTTTCTCTCTCAAAAAGATGGATTAAAAGCGTGACTGTAAAAGAAATTCTAACCTGGCAATCATTCTAAATAAATATTAAAAATTGTTCGCAATCAAGCTTAAACAATCTTGTTTGTTCTAATTAAAATAAATGTGTGCATCTTATCTACTTTTTCTATTGCACATAAAAATTCTACTAAACACCTAAAATCAGAATAAAAACAACCCTAGTTATACTTGACCAAACTCCCTCACTATTCAGTCTTTACATAATCAAAAAAATAAAGATGGTTTTTAATCACTTCCACATTTTGGCAATATAGACTGCATATATGTATGATAAGAAGCTATGCGTTATACATAAATATAAAAATGGCTAGTTCACTTATGAGTATTTCATACATGATAATTTTAGTGACGAAAATTGTTTTTTGTTATATTCGAGTCGAAAGATTAAAACATTTACACATATTTACATGATGCATCTATCCTTATTACAAGTACCTAAAAATGATATGATGTATACGACCCTTCAAAATGGGCCAATTTTAAGAAAATAGGTGTTAGCAGGAACAACACAAAATGATCGGAAACAATCCAATGTAAATAAATCTGAAATGGACAAAAACTTTGTTATTGTTGTTCCTGCTATTGCTCATTTTAAATATATTCTTTAATCAGGCAGACTCCAATGGCCAGTGTTTATTCCTGCATGCTGTGATATGAGCCTTTTCTAAAATAGGCCCAGATTTTCCAGGAGGCACAGTTTGTGGGTTATTGCTAAAGGTTCTATATATTAGGGTATTTTCAAACATTTGGAAAACTTTATTATTTCACTCAAAATTAGGGCTGAAAAAGTTCAATTGAGAAAGAAGAATAAGCTGTGGCTCATTTCACAGTAAATCCAGCATAGAAAATATACAGATGACATATTCATATTTATTCATACTTTCAATTTAAATGTTCATTTTATAAAATCCTTGAAAAATAGTATATAAACTCAAAGAAAAACAATCTTCAAACATTTTGATTTTTGTCCTCATTATTTATATTAATTAGAAATGAAAAGGTAAATACAAACATAGAAAAAATGAATTTGAATGTATTAAACATACATATTTCTTAATATACTTTTTCATTCGAGTAACGTTGGTAGACTTGAGTGTTGTTTCTGGACCACTCTTTGCTTTTAAAAAAGGCTGCTTACAGTTGGTACATATTTTTTTAGCCACTGCTGCAATGGTCTCACAATTTGTGCATTTCTATAAAATTAAAAAACAGATCTATGAAGATATGAACTGCAAACAGACTGTTTAATATCATTGAACTGCAAGTTCATTCTATACAAAGAATATCTTTCATCTGTAAAAAGAATATATCTATATACATTCATGAATAAATGACAGGATTCAAAAAATACAAGTATGCTTTCATGTTTGAATTGAACAAAGTATATAAACCAAAAGTTATATAAAAATATTATAATCAAATATTCCATGGTAATTTGTACCTTTATTGGGCCTTGTTTAATAGCTTCACCTAAAAAAGGTTGTCAAAAAGTAAAAAAAATATATTTGCTGACTAATTTTGGAAAGTAGCATGCATACATAACAATCTAGATATGCTTAATCTTATTCATTTGGTTTTTATTTAGATATGTATATATTTATATGGCTTTAAAAGCCTTTTGCGATATTGAAAAAGCAAACTGTTTATATATTAAGCAGTGCACATGATTGCATTTCCATGTCTCAGACAACAAATTACCATTCTTGATATCAGGGATGGACAACCTTTTAGGAGAGTTGGCCAGATCCTTCAAAGCTTTTCTTTAAGCAGGCCAAAGATAATAAGAAAAACGACAATCATAGTCTTAATGATAGTGATAATAACTCAACTGCTATGCAGTGCACCCAGCATTTGTTAACTTTCCCTCAAAGATTCTGCTGTCCTGTCTTTAAGCAGGGGGGAATCGTGACAACAGAAAGTGAAAAATCTTTCTGTGATTCCCAGGTTTGATGAAAATAACCTCTTTCTGAATCAATATGTTTCATTCAATATTTGTGACCGCCTGGCAAATCATCCTAGCCAACCAAAAAAGTCATAATATGAGTTTATCATCTTGCGGGCCACAAAAATTCTCTTCCTGGCCTGAGGGTTGCCACCCCTGTTCTATATCAAAGAGCAGAAGCAGAATGGTAACTTTGTGCCCAGATAACACAACCCAGAAGTTGTGTAAACTGTCGCCCAAAGATCTGAATTTTCAAGACACAAGCACTCAGGAAATTGTCTTGAAAAGGGGATTCTCAAATTAGGTATCACTGCTCATCAAATAGAATGGTTGCAAATCAGTAAAATGCATATCTATAGAGAGGGGCGTACCTTGACGATTTGGGGTAAGGGGGTGTAAATCGGTGAATTTACAGACCAAAATTCAACTCTTGCTAGTCAATGTATACACACCAATATACTATATAAAGTCAAGATACGCATACTGACAATCCATAACATGTACCGACCATCTGTTGCATTACCGACCAACTTTACTACCCCCCCCCCACACCCCCAGTAGGTACGCCTCTGTCTATAGATCTTGAGACGTTGCCTTCAAAAGTTTCATTTACCAAATTTTTTTATATTTTTGGATTTAATTTTATTTTTTATTCATAGCACAAAGCAAAAATATGGTAAGTAAATCTTTCTGGAAGCTTCTTTCTACACTTCCAGATATTTCCCATGACTGCTAGAAAGCTATCAAAAATTCAAAGGATAACTCTCCCCAAATTTATGAATAAGATAAGACCACAACTGTTCATTATCATTTGCATGTTTTGGTTTTCCAGAAGCTGTTAATCAATTTTCAGATATAGAGAGACTGTAAACATGGAACATCATTTAAGTCATTATTATTATATTACACCTTTTAAAACTGTTGCATTTTAAAATGCCTCTCTCTTAAGAACCACCGGAATGGTAAATATAAACATTGTACTACAAAATGTAAGTTGAAACATCCCAGAAGGGCCTATTCATCTTGTGCATGCAATAGCTTTATAATGTGGATACATTTATTAATATATTCATTCTGAAACCCTTGGAGGCAGATGTGCATTTCTTTCTTTTGTGTCTGAAAAACTTCTCAAACACAGCTTCACATTCTGAGTGTATTACAGCTTTAAAAAATTATAAGCCTCATATTAGCCCCTCTTTAAATTTATTCCTTAATATCTCAAACTAATAAGCCCCAAGTTTCTAGATCCCTAAAATACACAAAAAAAGTTGACCTAAACTTCTACGCAGATGATATGATTTTTAGAAAACTTGCTTTGTATTCATAATTATAAGTGTAGTTTACAAGAAATTTATACAGAAAAACAATTTCCTTTTGAACAAAAAGACTTTCGTTTGAACAACTTTTGATAGAAGAGTATAAACTGCAGTTTTAAAATAATTAAAGTTCTTTCTCTTGCAACTGTCATTGATTTTTGTCAATCAATGTCAATATTATTTTATTCTGGGCCAACTTAAACTCTGGGTCGATCTATACACAGAAATATATCATATGTTTAAAAATTCATTGAAAAGGAAGTGAGCAACCTAGAACTTATAGATGCCGCTATTCTAGATGTTATATCAATAGTTGATAATCAACTCAAATATCGCAGTGGTCGTTTGATACTCCTATGGGGGTCAACTAACAATATTAGAAACAAAATGATGGAAAAGAGACATTTATTGAGTGAAAATGTACATAAAACCACATATTGCCACAAATTGTATCATTAGAGTGGTTCAGCTCAAATGCCAGGTTAGAAACACATATGATTTTGCTGACGCGTCATTGTGACCAACAGCACATTGTCTTCTGTGACCTGTGAGCGGAAGCATTCGAGCTGCGAGCAATGATGCCCATTATATATACATAATATGGTATAATATATGAATTTATTGATGTTTTGGGTCACTAGAGGCCTGAAGTGCAAGCACAAGAAGTCCAGCGTTGCTGAAAATTTATGCAAGTTTTCTTCTCTGGCTCATATCTCTCTGATCTGATAGGAAGAAATTTGTTTCTCTTTATGAATGTAATTCTGACTTGCTTAAAATTTCTTGTGGTGTTTCCATGAATTTGTACTAGGGCCATATAACTGTTTCTTATATAAATCAGTGGTCGTTAGAAACACATATGCTTGCAAGAAACTCAAGTTTTATCTTTATGCTAATGACACAAACATCTACTGTGAATCCAATGATTTGGCTAATTTGACTAAAAAAGTAACTCGTAAGCTGAGATTAGCCAGAAATGGCTGGATGCTATTAAAAAATATCACTGAATATTGGAAATCTAACTACATAATCTTTCACTATCCATCTGCAAGTATTACTTTTAACGCTGCTATCAAAATAGGGAAAAACACATTTAAAAGGGTTCAGTTTGAAAATGGCTTTGAAAAAGCAAACATTTTATAATATATTGGCTGAAACGTCTGACACTCCTTAGAGCAAAAATCGTCAGAATAAGGAAGGAACAACATGCAATCGGTCAACATCTTTTAGACAACAAATTTGGCAGAGCCGCTGTTCATGGATATTCCAGAAGACAGCCCAATCAAGGCAATTTGTAAATGTCCCCAAAAAACAGTCTTCAATATGGGCTTAGGTCCATTCAATATCATGATGCTAAACTGTGGAGTAATTTACATTGTAAACTTCAAAATCTTTCATCTAAAATAGTATCCTTCAAATCAGTTGCATAACGGAGGCATCTGGGACACTGAAGGAAAACTGAGATGGGGCCCCTAAAAACTGATTTCAATCCCATCCAACGCTGTAAACATCATGTAAAACACGACTGCAAGATGTAAATTGCGTTTTATTGGTTAGAACGTCCCCAATATAAATATAATGTGCAATGAATATGTCCATGCGGAGGGGGGGGGGGGGGGGGTGGACGGGTCTCTCTACCATTAGTTTACCTAATTGTATTTTGTGAAGCAAAACCTAGCTGGCTACGCCGAAATTTCTTCAACGGGTAAAATAATTTTCCTGGCGCATCATTAGAAATCTGTGGGTAAATCATTCGAAAGAAATAAGTATAAATTATAATTATTGGCGCGACCTATAATGTGACCTATCAACGTAAGCTTCGATGTGGCGTGTATAAGGAGTACACCTGGCTGGATGATTTCTCATTTATGTAGACGAAAACAAACTTTTTTATTTTGAGGCAAGATTTGTACTTACCGGGTGGTCCTTCAAGATCTATTTCATCTGAGCTGTCATCTAAATCTGTGTCCAAATACAGGTTTAAGTCCATTTCTATTGCAAATCCTCAAAACAGGAAAATAAGGAGCTACACCGATAGTATAGAACGCCGTGCAGTGATAGCTGGTACGAAATAAGTGGCCGTACAATGGTCTGAAAATGTTCTACTGCTGCCCAGTATTTTATACCCTGCATGTAAGCTTTAGAAACTGTGTTTATTTTATGATGTATTGTTAATGTGTCCTTAATTACAGCTCTGGTCCTCAGGTATTCACAGTTTCTACAATTGTCGCTGAGGCAATGTGTAAATGTCCTGGACCATATGGAATAAAATTTAACACTGTTATTCCCATTTTACCCAACAATTCATTCCAATCGGATGACAAGATGTTAATTTACTTTATCCAAACTATGGCAAATTTTCCTTCCAGTAGGCCATTCAGTGTAGGCCTACAAAAGTAGGCGTTGCAATGGCGGTCCAATTATTCTGCGGCCGTATCCACCTAGCCCCATGTAAGCAGCAGCCTCAGAATGTGGAAATAACACTCAGTGTAATTTTCAGACAGAATTGACAATTAACACCGTGTGTTATTCTCAGGTACGAGGCCATGTTGAATATTTATACGATTTCAACAACTCTCTTTTTGGCCACCTTTGAGTATCAAGCTATAAGTTTAACTTAGAAGGGCACACTGAATTCTGAAAGTTTGTTGAAAATGTCTAAATTTTATACGATTTCAAAAACTCTCTAGTTGGCCACTATTGAGTATCAAGCTATAAGTTTAACTAAGAGGGACACACTGAATTCTGAAAGTTTGTTGAAAATGTCTAAATTTTATACGATTTCAGCAACTCTCTTTATGGCCACTTTTGAGTATCAAGCTATAAGTTTAACTAAGAGGGACACACTGAATTCTGAAAGTTTGTTGGAAATGTCTAAATTTTATACGATTTCACCAACTCTCTAGTTGGCCACTATTGAGTATCAAGCTATAAGTTTAACTAAGAGGGACACACTGAATTCGTAAAGTTTGTTAGAAATGTCTAAATTTTATACGATTTCAGCAACTCTCTTTTTGGCCACTTTTGAGTATCAAGCTATAAGTTTAACTAAGAGGGACACACTGAATTCTGAAAGTTTGTTGGAAATGTCTAAATTTTATCCGATTTCAACAACTCTCTAGTTGGCCACTATTGAGTATCAAGCTATAAGTTTAACTAAGAGTGGCACACTGAATTCTGAAAGTTTGTTGGAAATGTCTAAATTTTATACGATTTCAACAGCTCTTTATCTGGCCACCATTGAGTATTAAGCTGTAAGTTGATATAGGAAGGGCACACTGAATTCTGAAAGTTTGTTGGAAATGTCTAATTTTTATACGTTTTTAACAACTCTCTAATTGTTTACGATTGAGTATCAAGCTATAAGTTTAACTAAGAAGGACTCTGTAAGTTTGTTGAAAATGTCTAAATTTTATACGATTTCAACAACTCTTTAGTTGGCCACTATTGAGTATCAAGCTATCAGTTTAACTAAGAGGGGCACACTGAATTCTGAAAGTTTTTTGGAAATGTCTAAATTTTATCCGATTTCAACAACTCTCTAGTTGGCCACTATTGAGTATCAAGCTATAAGTTTAACTAAGAGGGGCACACTGAATTCTGAAAGTTTGTTGGAAATGTCTAATTTTTATACGTTTTCAACAACTCTCTAGTTGGTCACTATTGAGTATCAAGCTATAAGTTTAACTAAGAGGGACACACTGAATTCTGAAAGTTTGTTGGAAATGTCTAAATTTTATACGATTTCACCAACTCTCTTTTTGGCCACTTTTGAGTATCAAGCTATAAGTTTAACTAAGAGGGGCACACTGAATTCTGAAAGTTTGTTGGAAATGTCTAATTTTTATACGTTTTCAACAACTCTCTAATTGTCTACGATTGAGTATCAAGCTATAAGTTTAACTAAGA